GGATAATACAGGTACTTCAATTTGGTTAAATCTCAACTCTTTTGATGAATCATTAACAATAATTAAATCCAATTGCGACGCTCCACTTCCGTGAAAGAATTATGGTTTACCCAATGAATATAAAGAGTGAGTGGTGAGCAGGCTACAAAGCCTTGCAGACTTTCCTGAATGATTGGTCAACAAGTTCGTGTTGAAAACACCCATAAAGAAAACATTTTTATAGGCAAAACCATAACCCAACAAACAATTTTAGCTGCAGATTAGCTTATACAGCAAAAAATTGGCTTATACAGCTAACTTTTGCCTGTATAAGCTAGACTGCAGCTAAAATTGTTTGTTGGGAAGACGACAGTAAATTATCCATTGTATCTGAGCAGTCAATTTCAGGAGGGTTGTAGCATGCAGTCATTAGAAGTTTTTTTTTTATTTTTTACGATAACTTGGACAGTAATAAATTCTGTACAGGTTACTCCTGTCTGGTTATTTGACTTGGTTATAATATTGAAGGCAATAGGCTTAGCGAGCTAGCGCGTGATTGGTTGATTACGGCCAAAATGTTTCATCATTTTTCAATTGCTTACCAATGATAAACTACTATATTATTTATATCAAACAAATCTTACATAAAATCTGAATCAAATGATGTGATAAGAATTGGAATCCATCAATAAATGACCAAGTTATAAGCGTTTAAAACCTGACACTAGTTCGTTACACAATTTTTGGATTTGCACACCAGTTTATTCCTCAAAGACGTAGTCCTACGTCAAAATACATGGAATATACCTTAAAAAAAAACAATGTTATCCCGTTTTACGACACCTACTGCTTCTGCTGAAAAACATTATTTTTTTATTAAAATTTGTCCCAAACGTCATTTCGATCGGAAGTGCCGAGTTGTATTTCTTGACGCTATTTTGAAAGTTTTTCAAGATTTAAATGGCAGTGTTTGTTCAAACAATTATGCAAAGTTTCATGCAAATCGGATAAAGTCGAGTTTTTCCGATTCGTCATTTGGCGTGAAACTCTAACCAGAAACCATTTTCGTGGTGCGATACTGGTGTAAGATCTACCTCCGAACCCTAGTCCTGATAAGGGGGACAGAATTTTTCAATAATCAAAGGGACACATTTTAGTCCTTGCTACTGTTTTTATGCCTTGTTTGGAGACTCGGAGCAGTAGTCATGCTGGCTGCTGAATTGTGAAGTTAATTTAAATTAAATTCAAATTTAAAATTAAAATTTCTTGAAAGAAGGGATACTTTTAGATAAACATCACTCGGTAAATGGCTCAGCACTACCATAGTGCAAGGTAAAAGTGATTGATGCTGAAATTTCATAATGAACTTGGCGGCAAGTTTTGTATCAAATGGACAAATCGTATCTTAACTATCCTAATCGTATTTTATAAAATGCTATGTGCGCGTCCTGGAAGAAAAAGATAAATTGTTTCATAAATTTTCTGTTTCCAGATAATTTCACTGTTTATAATGTGTTGTGAATCAAAAAGTTCCATTGAGGTTTATGGTGGTGGGTTGTGCATTAGGAAGAATGCCATGTTCCCTGCTTATCTGATAGCATTTCCAACTAACTCTGAAAATCGTAAACTTCACGTATGAAGTAAAATCAAAACACTTTGAATGCCCTGCTTATGTGTTTTTGAGTGGTTGTTTATATTTTTCTCTTTTCTTTCTTTCCGAAATCTTCCAGAATTTGTTTAACGTTGTGTTGGTGTTGCCATGATGATTGTATTTGGTGGTATTTCCTTTCGGAATAACCTCGATCGCACGTGATCTATTGTGTAGTTTTAGTTACAACATACGAAAGCGATTTAGCTAAGGATACATTATTGACTGCATTCAAGAACGTAATTTCATTTGAATAGCTTGTTTAACCAGGGCTTATGATAGCCTGAACAATGAGTAAAGAGCAAATCGGAACGCTACGCGTTAATGTCGGCGTAAGGGCTTTTTCGTAGCTTTTAGTTTTCGAATTTGAAAGATCCTTGGTTGCAGTAGCTTGCTCACTGAGCAGAAAACGCGGTCCCAGGTCCTTTCATAATATTGGATGGTTTGGATGGGTTTGAATGGTTACAACAACTCGAGTAACGGTATGATGTGATATGAGAGCCTCGGTGACCATAGAACGGCCATTTTTGCTTACTGAGCAGAACGTCATGAGTCTAATCTCAGACACATCCTTATTCAAGATTTGTCAATCGTTTTATTTGATAATATGACTGCACGCACTACGCAAAAGTCATGTAAACTTCGGTTCCCTGAGAGCGGCACATGCAAGCGGCCCTAATGACATAAGAATCAGTTGAAAGAGACGAGAAAATCAATTCAATAAAACGTCCTTTTCGTCGAGCTGCGTATGTTTTGATTTAGGAACACACAATTTAACATGAAATATTTGTTTACGTTCCATGGTTTACGTCACGTGTAAAAATAGTTATTTCTAAGTATGCGTGGTAATAACAGCAACTCGATGATAAAAAAAACAAGTTTCTTTGCCTAGTGGCAAATGTTTTTGCTTACTGAGCAGAAGACCGTAAGCTCAGTTCCAAGCTTCTTCGCGTTATATGATCGTTAAGACATCAATTCAGCTTATCGTGCACAGGACTCTTCGGCTTCCATCGAAGCGAGTTCCACGTCAACACCTTCCTACCCATTCCTTTCTTGACATGCGTTCGGGCGTGGCCGTCGCTGGTATTGCCAAGATTTAGATCACCAGATTTTACACATTGAAGGCTATTGTTAGCCCCAAGCAACGTCTATTGGATATCTGTGTAATTACAGCTGATCTGGCAATAACAAAGTTGCAACCGTGGGCAGTCAATCATGCTCATGCTCATTTGGCGTGGAACTCTATTATAGAATCCAGAAACTTTTGAAGTGAAATATCCCCGTTCGGAACTTGACCTGTTTCGGTTATACTGAATACCCCAATAAGTTGTGAAAGAACACTCCAGAAATATTCAAATGTTACGGGCTATGCGGCTCAATTTGCCCAGAGTATTTCTTCACAACAAAAATTACCATTCGTCTCCATTTAAAAAATCACACAGATGGAGAATTGTGGACACTAAATCATTTAACAATCTCTTAAAATCTGTGGAAAATTCACAACAGTTACGCGCTGCTCCATCATTAGGAACAGCACAAACAGATTCGTTCGCTTGGATTGTCCTTCTGTACCAGATGGTATGCATGTCACACACCTCTCAACCTTGAAAAACAAAATTTCGACTGCCAATCTAATCTCAACCGCCAAGCACACCTCAAAAACCGCGCTCTGAGACAGATTTGCCATTCCGCTCGGACCCCATCGTTTCCAAGCTTCCGCTCAATTAATCGCCCACCGCTGCTGACCCTGCTCTCGATACGCACTGTTCGGTGCTGTTGCACTCGTACCAATCGTGATTCCGCGACCAAATGACGCATACACAGCCCCTCTCTCTATTTGAAGTCAGATCACCACAACCTCCACCCCCCGGATCATTTAGAACCACTTTACCGGGGGACTTAAGTGATCCCGCGGCAAGAGGCATCAATTACACCAATTGAACCTGCCGGGCTGGGCAGCTTGAAATCCGCTTATCATTGCCGGGTCCTGCCCGGGCTGTCCCTGTCCTGTGGGCTCTCCCGCTTAAAAAATATTTTAATTTAATTACACGTTTTCAGCACCCTGCGCAGGCAGAGCGGTGGTGCTATGGGCTCACTCTCGATAAATAATAATGATAGGGCTGTCCAACTCCCGAAAATCGAAATCTCTCGCGCCTTCTCTTCCTTGGGCCTCCATCTCTCTCGCCGAGTGCTGATGCTGATGGTTGGCAGTTCAACAACAGGCAGCAGCGGACGAATTAGGCAAAATGGTTATTTTATTATTTTTCCTTCACATGATCTTGATCTTCTTGTTGCTGTTGCCTTCGATTGCTTTCTTGGATTTGCTGTCCGGGGTGGGCGCGGGTTAGACCATCAGCAGCAGCACGTTCATAGCCATATAATTTGACCTTCTTTAGATTTGCCCATGATTGATTTCTCGATATTTAAGTGTTTTCTACTTGATGCCCCTTTTTGGTTGGAAATTCTTTCGACGCTGGAAACCAGAGGATTATCCTAGGTGGTTGATTCCGAAGAAATCACGCAAGGTCCAAGACTTGCCCAGAAGCAATTTTTCGATGGATTTGGTCATTTGGACGACTTTTAACGGCTTTTTTTTCTGGTAGAGGAGACTTCAACGGCGAGTCAAGTGACGAACCGCAAAATATGCGACAGCCGATTTATGGTTCTGCTGCCCACAACAGATTGGAGCACCAATGGGTGACCATCTGGTCGTAGAAAATATAAATTTATCTCCACCATCTCGGTTTCGAAACCCCTGGCTGCCCCCGGGCCAATCACTCCGATTTTATTGATCAGTCACTGAATCTCATTAGCATGATGACGACGACGGCCGACGCACTCTTGTGTAACATGTACGCGTTACTTTTACGCAAATGATTCGGATAACAGTTGCCGACATTTGGAAGACCTTGAACAACTTCCCTCGGCGATGAGCCACCCCCCGGAAGTGCCTAATGATCAGCCGTTAGTCAAAAATCGTTCAATTACAACCGTTTTGCACGCGCTGGCACTCTTCGAATATTCAAACAACGCCAGCAAGTCGACCTCATGAATGACCGCTTGAACGCGCGGGCACGCGCATGAGTTTATGTATGTGTGTGTGTATGTAATTGCCCATAGCTGGGTCATTAAATGCCGCACATTAAACCGATCGATTGGAATTCCTCGAACACTGATGTAATCTGTCATTGGCCTTACCACCCGTGAACCGTTCCGCAGAAATCATCATGATCTTAATTGTGTATGCTAATATCTCGCTGATTGCCGATAATTGTTATGAGTAAAATGGCTGACACAGTCTTCGGAATGGATTAACAGCTCATTAATATCATCTCTAATGGCACCGTTTCTGTTTTGCTTGATTTTATTACAGTTTGCATCGGAACGAATGGACGCATGTCGGTGCCGTCGAACCGCGAGTACCACTACAAGAACCTGCGAGATCGGTATACCAACTGTACCTACGTGGACGGAAACCTGGAGATCACCTGGATCCAGAACACTTCGTACGATTTGAGCTTCCTGCAACACATTCGGGAAGTGACCGGTTACGTGCTGATCAGTCACGTGGACATTCCGCAGGTCATCCTGCCCCGGTTACAGATCATTCGAGGCCGTACGACGTTCAAGCTGAACAAATGGGAAGACGAGTTCGGTCTGTTCGTGTCCTTCTCGCAAATGAACACCCTGGAGATGCCAGCCCTAAGGGACATTCTCAGCGGATCGTCCGGAATCTTCAACAACTACAACCTGTGCCACGTTAAAACCATCAACTGGGACGAAGTCCTCTCCGGTAAGTTTCATGTGCGTTGACTTTTACAATAAAACCTTATGACCCTTGCAATATTTGCAGATGTAAAAGCCCACTACCGGTATACGTACAATTTCACCTCACCCGAACGGGACTGCCCCCCGTGTCACTCGACTTGCGAAGCCGGCTGTTGGGGCGAGGGCGCCCACAACTGTCAAAAGTTTAGCAAACTGAACTGCTCTCCTCAGTGCTCGCAAGGGCGCTGCTTCGGTTCGAAGCCCCGCGAGTGTTGCCATCTGTTCTGCGCCGGTGGCTGCACTGGTCCTACCCAGAAAGACTGCCTAGCCTGTAAGAACTTTTACGACGATGGGGTGTGCAAACAGGAGTGCCCACCTATGCAACGGTAAGACCCTTCCTCAATTTTACACCAACATTGATAACTAACATTGACGGTTCACAGATACAATCCAACAAACTACCTCTGGGAGCCGAATCCTGAAGGCAAGTACGCCTACGGAGCTACCTGTGTGCGAAACTGCCCGGAACATCTACTGAAAGACAACGGAGCTTGCGTGCGGACGTGTCCATTGAACAAGATGGCTAAAAATGGGGAATGCGTTCCTTGCAACGGAGCCTGTCCCAAGACGTGCCAGGGTGAAGGCATCGTACATTCCGGAAATATTGACAAGTACAAGGACTGCACCATCATCGAGGGTTCGCTGGAAATTCTCGATCAGACGTTCGACGGGTACCAGCAGGTGTTCTCCAACTTTTCTTTCGGACCACGGTACATCAAGATCCATCCGGATCGGTTGGAGGTGTTTTCGACGCTGAAGGAAATCAGCGGGTTCATCAACATTCAGGGCTACCATCTAGACTTTAAGAATATGTCGTACTTCCGGAATCTGGAGGTCGTCGGTGGACGTCAGCTCAAGGAGAATCTGTTTGCTTCCGTGTATATTGTGAAGGTAGGTTACTCGCGTCAAATGACAATCGTTTACCGATTCTTACTTTCCTGAATTCCGATCAACAGACATCTCTTCAATCTCTGGAGCTGAAATCGCTGAAACGGGTCAACTCGGGTGCAATCGTCATCCTGGAGAACGATCATCTGTGCTACGCGGAAGAGATCGATTGGTCCAAAATCAAGAAGTCTGCCGACCACGAGAGCGTGATTATGTCCAACCGGAACATTACGACTTGCCGTAAGTAGTCTGAGTCAAGAGATCTCCGAAGTGGGTGGATTGCTGATGGTTGCCTTTTTGGTTTCAGATGCCGAAGGAATGTTCTGCGACGAGCAGTGTACGAAAGCTGGTTGCTGGGGCAAGGGACCGGAACAGTGTCTGGAGTGTAAGAACTTTGTCTACCAGGGCAAGTGTCTCGATAGCTGCAAGAGTCTACCAAAGTAAGTTTCCCCCACACTCAAAAGTTTCGACAGAAATTTTAACCGGTTTCTTCCACACTTAAAAGGATCTACCAAGTCAATAGCAAGACGTGCGGAGACTGCCACCCGGAGTGTCTGGACTCGTGCTACGGACCGAACTCCGACAACTGTGGATCATGCGTCAACGTCAAGGACGGAAAATTCTGCGTGTCGGAGTGTCCCCTCACCAAGTACAATCTGAACGGAACTTGCGTAGCCTGCCACAGGACCTGTATCGGCTGCAATGGACCACGGGATACGATCGCCTCGGATGGATGTGTCTCCTGTGATCGGGCAATCATGCGTAGCGACGGAACCGTGGAACGCTGTCTGATGAAGGACGAACCCTGTCCAGGTAAGAACGATTTATCCGTATCTCTTTGTGCACCTAACCATTGCTTACTCTCTTCTACAGACGGATACTACAGCGAGCGAGTCGAACAGGACGAAGGACCCTTCAAGCAGCTGTCCGGAAAGTCGGTCTGCCGCAAGTGTCACCCTCGCTGCAAGAAGTGCACCCAGTATGGATTCCACGAGCAAGTCTGCCAGGAATGCGCCAGCTACAAACGGGGAGAACAGTGTGAGGACGAGTGCCCGATCGATCATTTCGTAAACGAGGAAACCCGCGAATGCCTCCCATGCCATGCGGAATGTCGCGGTTGCCGTGGATTCGGTGAAGATCAATGCCTCGAATGTCGCAACCTGAAGCTATACGAAGGAGACCCATACGACAACTCCACGGCCTTCAACTGCACTTCGTCCTGCCCTTCTTCTCACCCGTTCAAGCACTTCCCACTGGAAACCAGCAGAATTGGGCCGTACTGCTCGCCGGACCAGGTCCAAAGTGGATTCCGACTGGAAGCTTCCACGACGCCGATTCTGCTCCTGGCCATACTGGTTCCGGTTGTTCTGATTATCCTAGCGCTTGCAATGGCTTACCTGTATTGCACGCAGAAGAATAAGAAGGATGCGGTGAAAATGACTATGGCGTTGGCCGGTTGTGAGGATTCTGAACCACTGAGGCCGACCAACGTTGGACCGAATCTAACGAAGCTTAGGATCATCAAGGAAGCGGAGCTACGGCGAGGAGGTGTCATGGGTATGGGAGCTTTCGGACGGGTATTCAAAGGTGTTTGGATGCCGGAAGGCGAAAGCGTCAAGATCCCAGTCGCAATTAAGGTTTTGATTGAGATGTCCGGATCGGAATCGAGCAAGGAATTCCTGGAAGAAGCGTACATCATGGCTTCGGTGGAGCATCCGAATCTGTTGAAACTGCTGGCAGTTTGCATGCCCTCACAGATGATGTTGATCACGCAGTTGATGCCCTTGGGTTGTCTGTTGGATTACGTGCGAAACAACAAGGACAAGATCGGATCTAAGGCTCTGCTGAACTGGTCAACGCAGATTGCACGCGGAATGGCTTACCTGGAGGAGCGTCGCTTGGTTCATCGTGATTTGGCTGCTCGTAACGTGCTGGTGCAGACGCCATCGAGTGTGAAGATTACCGACTTTGGGCTGGCAAAACTGTTGGATTATGATTCGGATGAATATCGTGCAGCTGGTGGAAAAATGCCCATCAAATGGTTAGCGCTGGAGTGTATTCGGCATCGCGTGTTTACGAGCAAGAGTGATGTGTGGGCGTTTGGAGTTACCATCTGGGAGCTGATGACGTACGGAGCTCGACCTTACGAGGAAGTTCCTGCGAAGGATGTTCCCGAACTGATCGAAATGGGTGGAAAGCTTCCTCAGCCGGATCATATTTCGCTGGATGTGTACATGATCATGATTTCCTGCTGGCATTTGAACGCAGATGCTCGTCCTACGTTCACAACTTTGGAGAAGACGTTTGCTGAAATGGCCCGGGATCCGGGCCGGTATCTCAGCATTCCAGGAGATAAATTCATGAGACTGCCTTCGTACACCAACCAGGACGAGAAGGATTTGATCCGCACTCTTGCACCGGTGTCCGAAGCCGGAGTACACGGAACGATTGTCGAGGCTGACGAATACCTCCAACCGAAGACTCGGCCAGCCCTCATGCTTCCGGCGTCTTCGATGGAGAAATCTGACGATATGTCCAAGTCACTGCGCTACAGTAAAGATCAACTCAAGCCGGACGAAGAAACGGACCGGAATGCCCGCGAGGTGGGCGTCAGCGGTATGCGACTTAATTTGCCATTGGATGAAGATGACTATCTGATGCCCACTTGTCAAAGTCAAGCACCGTCGGTTCCCGGCTACATGGATTTGATCGGTGTACCGGCCAGCGTTGACAATCCAGAGTACCTGATGGGATCGGCCGGTAGCAACATAAGTACGAGCCTTCCGACTCCACCACCGGTGACGCCATGCGGCAGCGGTATTAGCACTACCACACCCAATAGTCCTGTAAATAGTATACCTCCTTCCATAAGCACCGTTAACTCTAGCACCAATCCTTGCAACGGCTCCATTACCACTAATATCAACAACAACAACAATAACCACAACAACATAAACAACAACGCCGCTGCCGCCGCCGTTGCCAACAATGCCATCAAGAAAGAAGAAGCCATTCCGATGCCGCACACGACGCTCAACGAACCCCAGGCAGCACCGCCAACGCAAACCCTGGGCATTCCCCTTTCGCCCACGGAAACGGAAACCACTTCCGAGCATGAGTACTACAACGATCTGCAGCGAGAACTGATACCGCTGCATCGGAACGAAACTACGGTGTAATAGGGTTCGATTGCAAGCAAACAAGCAAACCCACAACTGTACAGAACTGAGCTTCCATTCTGATTAATCATCATCATAGGAGAAATATTAGGAGATTTTATGAACTGGAAACATCGAATGAAGCGACTTTACATAGCAATCGAATTAGCATACAAAAAAGTTCAAAGTTTGTATCGTAAGTGCCTTCAATACATAGCATAGGAAACTAGGTGTTAGTGGATGAAGAAAAATGGGAGATCAAATCTAGCGTGCCTTTATCAGAGAAGTGGTCCTCGGTCCACTTCCTAAGCCCTGTACATAATCAAATTGTAACGAATATTTAAAAACCGATATAGCTAGTGATGGATAGCTTAGAGTGTACTTAAGCATCTAAGTAGGAGGGTATTTGATCAATTTTAACAAGTGAAGAGTTTGAGCCAAGTACAATGAAAATGAGCTTCTTTGGGAATGATGTTGACAGCGGAACGCCACTCTCCCCCACCCGGCAGTGGTGGCTGTCAAGCAGTTTGAGTGAGCAATGTTTAGATCAATCATTGAGAGACGCTAAATTGGCTAAAATTTAAAATTTTATGTATTTCATTTTTTAAAATCTGTGATACTATTCATAATCGAATGTCAAATTTTATACAACTAGGTTTTACTGCAAAGACTACGAATTGAAAATACAACTAGGCAACAAGCAATAGCAGATATGTGTTTGTAGTGGTAGTAGTCGACAGTGAATACAATTTTGATTTCATGCGGAAAAGTTTTATAAACCATATCCATATATCAACCGACACAATCACCGATCAATACAATGAATGTTTTTATGATAGCGCAACCGGTACTTCTCAAAGCACTTACACCCACTTAAAACGCATTATACTTAACGGATCACACAACAATAAATCTACTCTAAAAAAAAACATCCGGAATTTCTCCTCTACATATTTGTTTTTAGGCCGCGTACTATGCATATGAGTTTTAAAACTAGTTTAACGATTTTCGTTTGTAAATAGCCTTTGGCACCTGTGTTCAGTGTTGTCGAATTTGTAAATATTTGGCCGAAAATGTAACGCCCTACTTAATATCTTTTGCGGCATCCCGTGTGACGATGTTTCAAAAAGATGAGTGGAAACCGCAAAAGTTAGCGAATAGATGTAACGTGTAATGGTGTAAGTAATCGAAAAGAATAACTGAAAATTAGGAAAATGTGCCATGTTTTGTGCATGAAAATAAATTTAACAAAAAATGAGAAAGTCACTTCTCGCCACGGAAGAAAAACATTAAAATAATAATAAAAAAAAACAAAAACAAAAACAATACTGTAAAATACGAAGGAAAGTGGAAAATAAAAGGAAAGGCTATACGAACGTAAAATAAGCAGCAATGGCACAACAAGTAAAAGTTTAGCGTAGAAATGTATTGAAGGAAAAATTGTTAATGTTTTTAAGTTATATATGTATTTTGAAAATTTCAAATAAAATGGAAATTATACACAAGCGGTTTGATCTTTTGATTTTCACAGCATTCGTGATGACCATCATTGATTGAATTATTCGTTGTAGTAAAATCAGTATGACTCTTTCGTTTCTTGGTTGAAATCCGTACGTCCCAACTTAGGGGGAGGGTATGACAGTTTTGGCCCTTCTCAATAGTTTTCAACAGAGGAAAAGTATAATTTTGCCCCCTCAATAATTTTCATACATTGTTTAAATTCTTGGGGAATTTTTACGTACTTTCGTCGTTCTAAGCAGCGTTCACTCTTCTATTAGCAAGTGTTCAGCGTCATGGCATATGACGTGTTTGTTTGTTTACATTTATCTGCCGCTTGCTACACTATCCATTCTAATCCACAGAATTGTCCACAGCTTTCTAAACTTCTCAGGTGAGTGTGACTATTGTCGGCAACCTCTTTTTCTTCGGCAACTTTTCTATTTGAACTGAACGTTGATCAGCTGTTCTAAAGGCTGACTAAAAGTAAATTGATACGCCCCTCGCGCGCCGCTAGCACGCCTCTAGTGTTGGGAATCGAAAATCTTTGACAGTGGTTTGTTTACACTTCTAAAGAGAACAACTGGTGCAATTTTGATCAAAGTAGTCGATCGCGTTCAGAAATAACGTCAAATGGAACACGAAAGAAAAAAAATGTGCGCAAACACCTGGAAAATCCGGAGTGGTCCGGTTCCAAGCTGGGTAAAGTGCTGAAGATTTCGAAAACAACAGTTTGTCGAGTGCTCAAAACCTACAAGGAAACCCTGAGTGTGGAAAGAAATAAGCGGACCTACGAAAAAACTTGAATCAGGGATCGTCAGCTGCGCAGCAAGGTGTTAAGGTGCGTTAAAGCCAACCCCGGTCTTTCGATCCGAGATGTGCAAGGCTCTTGTACGACCGTGTTTTGTCGAAACACAAGGGCTGCAATTTGATCGATGCTAGGGGAAGGCCAGCTCGAAGTATAAGCATCAATATCGATGGTAGAAATATTAAATATTTTAATATTTGTGATATTTGTGAATGTCATACTTAGTCTGACAGTTGTTTTTTATTTGTTTTTGACTATTTTTGGTTTTAAGTGTAGATTGGAACCAATGTTTACTCCTCAGCATTATTCCTGAAAGTAGTCTAACTGAGAATTTCAGAAGAGACGTGAGTGTCGCTAGTATCCAATCTACGAAGTATAATATAACAACGCTAACGCTAACGCTAACTATTTTTTGGTTTTAAGTGTACATTTGACATTCGTTTAATGAAAAATGGATTTCACACGAGAGGCAAGTTATTCGCTTCACTATTATTCTAATATTTTTTTTAATTTGAATATTTGGTTCTTTGATAAAAAGAGCTTGAATGCGTGAAATATACGGTATTTACGCAGAAAACCCGGAAAAAAATTACTTTTCTCAGAGGGGAGAAAAAACTAATTCTAAAGCTGGCCAACACCATTCGTGATGCAGGCTTGGATCAATTAATGCCATCCAGCAAAACGAACAATACGAAATCCGAGTCAATAGATTCATTTGAAACGAAAGTGTTAGAAAGAATCCAATCTTACTTCAAAGAACGGTAAACATTTGTTTGAATTATTTTTCCAACTATTTATCAAATGCTGTGGATCTGTGTTGATTGATTCCAATTGAATGTCATTTTTTTTTTTTTTGCTGGACTCGAAAATCTATCGGCAAGTGTATCTCTGTCGAAAGGCGGATACAGAATGGCAATCATTACCTGTGTTCTCAAGTTCTCAATTATTATTCCCTATTTATTTATGAACACGCAGATGCACATGTGAAACAAGGAACAATAATCGAAGTTGAAGAATGGGGCGGGGGTCTTATCTGGGTGGGATGACTGTAGCCTGTCTTTTACCAACACGAAATTAAAAAAAAAAACATCGACTCGCCTAAGCCTCCGTGTATCCTCGGTGGAACACAACACTTGATCTTGCTGGCCGTCACCCCTGAAATCCACTCCATGTCCTCCTAAATTCGACATTCCTTGGTACCTTGGTCTTGGTACATGATATCAATATACACGTTCCGTTGTCGTTTTCGCTTGATTCGCCATGAGCCTGGTGAGATTTGCTGCCGGATTTTGTAGTGGACGAAAGGCCGCAACCAAAAACGAAAAATTACGCAAAAATGATGACAAACAGAAAGCTGCATCAGTAAACATAAACAACAATGGTGAAACGTCATTGAGTGCACGGTGTACGCTATATAAGGTAAGATATTCCGGTAAATGACATTTGCATAGTGACGTCATTCCTATCCTTTGAGAGCTTAGGAGAGCCTTTTGCTGAACAAAATGAAATGATTTGCTGTGTCTGCAATGTATTTACACTGTACAATTTGAGTTATTCTCCAGCAAACTATTGGAAAATAGCAATGACGTCATTAGTCGACATTCATACTTAATGTTTACAACCGAGAGTATATTACCAACAATCAATACGAAACTAACGATTTTAAACTGGCTCACTACTTGACTAGCCTATTGGTCCCAAGCAAACGATTAACGTACCCCATTCTAGTCGAAATTATAGTACTGCACATTTTTTTTTGATTCGCTATGAAAGTTTGACAGATAATATGAGGGGTTATTGGTTTTTCCTATGTTTCGAGGGGTGAATCGATTAGCTTGGGACCAAAGAGAGTACCAGAGCTGAGCCAAAAAGTTGAGCACGTTATTTCGGGACCTTCTAGTCTTAGAGTTACCTATATGATATTACCAACAATCAATACGAAACTAATCAGGGGTGTGTGGATCCATGCAGAACATGCAGGGGTGAGTGAAATAGCTTGGGGCTGCTTGGGACCGTTGTTCTGGTACTGAGTGAGCCAAAAATAATAATGATTTTTTTCGGGACCCAGTGGTCTTAGAGTTACCTCTATGATATTACCTTGTTTATGTATACCGTGATTGAGTGTATTCGTTATAGCTACACTGTTAAAATTGTTTACTTTGTAGCTTTCCGTTTGACAGTTAATATCATTAATATTTATATTAAAAACTGTAGTAATTACTAATTCGAGCAATTTTTACACCAAATATTACTTCAGATCAAGTTGTAATTCCCCTAGGATCGGTGACGAAACATACGTCAAACTCGATTTTAAGCAGCTTCCCGGTCAAAAGTTTTACATCGCGACTGGACGTGGGGATGTGCCGGGAAGATTCAAGTTCGTGTTTGCCGACAAGTTCGCGAAGAAGGCCATGATTTGGCAAGCGGATTGAAGTTGTGGCCTGAAACCATTCGTCACAACCTCGACGATGACATCCCAAGTTTACATCGAAGAATGCCTGAAAAAGCGTGTATTGCCGATCATCCGCAAGCATAGGGGCAAAGTCATCTTTTGGTATAATGTGGCCACCTGCCACTACTCCAAGGTGGTTCTGGAGTGTTATGCTGCCAACAAGATCGTTTTTGTTCCCAAGCCAATGAATCCTTCGAAATGATCAATTTAGCATGTAAAATACTATGGTAGGCACTGCACAGTTCTATCAAAACCTCAGCATTTTCATTGATCCATTGCCCGGAATTTCCACCAATCGAAAAATACCGGACAATTTCAAAGCAGCGACTTCGATGAAGCGGCGGGGCAGCCAAGGATATCCAGCATGCGGGCAAAATGGAAGAAATTCGCTGATTCCATACCCATTTCCACTGTGCGGGCGATGATGGGCTCCATCAAGGGGAAGTTTGGAGATTTCTTTCGAACTGGAAAATATATTAAAAGTTTTAATAAGATTACTGTAATGCAGCCATTAATGGACTTTTTAAACTTATTGAATTACGAATTATAGTTCTTTTTGTGCATACCAATTTACTTTTAGTCAGCCTTTATTATCTGCAACTCGAAATCAGCCGCGTTTTGTAGTCCGTATATTTAATTTAAAGAAAAACCTGGTATAAAAGGTTTACTCAATCGTAAAATGGATTCAGATTTATGAATCCGGGAATCGTTTGAATACTTTGAGCGAAGTGATTTGGTGAGAAAATACAGCAAAAATAATATTAAAATTTAGGTTGCCAATAACAGTCAATGGGTGCCGAAGCCATCATTTAACATATGGAAAAAAAAACTTACTTACGCGTTAAAAATCTTTTGTTATTGTTTCTTTTCTTTTTTTTGTAAATTATTTTATTTGTACAGGCTCAATCGAAGTTATTGTTTCTGTTGATGGATATTTCTTTTTTCTGAAAAAAAAATTCTTTTTCAGTTGCACGATCGATGAAAATGTCAGACGGCACGCGTTGCTATGGTTTGGCTAGGGCACAGACAAACAGACGTAACTCTTTGAAAAAGATTTTCTTGAAAACATAGAATCTCAATACATAGAACCTCAGTAACGACATCTCTCGGGCTTCTCGCGGAAAACAAGCTTGCTCGTTAATTCTCTAACAATATTGCATAAAAGTTCTACATAATGTATAGAAACGTCAAAATGATCCGATGCCAGCGCTGTGGCGAGTAGTTCGTGGAACTGATAATATTCAATTCAACCGTTTAATGCGTGAACGAAGATACACAATGAAGTGTTACGTAAGTTTGTCTGTGGCTAAGGTGTCGCTTTTTGAATTAAATCTCAGTTAAATCGCTTTTTAAGTTAAATCTATGTTGCTTTCGGGGTTTCTTTGGCTAAAATCAGCACAGGTGGGTAGATTTGAATGTAGTAAATATGCTTTCTTATCTTGAGTATATTGAGAACCACAGGGCTTTTACTTGATTTTGAATCAAAGTTTAGTGAGTTTGCATGAATTATAGAAAAATCCCGTGTCTGAGGCTTAGGAATTGTTTAGAATTTTTACTGAGATTGCAATAAAAATTGGACGTTTTTTGACTTGACAAATTTCTGAAACACTGGGACAATGAAGTAATGAAATTGGGTTGTTTGCGGAATGCTTAAATAAAACAGCAAAAAAGGCTATCTTCCATTTAATTCCACTTAATTAATTTTGGTATCCACGACAGATACGTATTTCGACTACAAATTGCAGTCT